CGAGTCCCGCATCGGGCTCCCTGCTCAGCAGGGAGTCTGCTTCTCCCTCTGACCCTCCCCCCTCTCATGTGCTCTCTCTCTCTCTCATTCTCTCTCTCAAATAAATAAATAAAATCTTAAAAAAAGAAGAGTTGGACACTTAACTGACTGAGCCACCCAGACACCCTGGGTTTTGTATTATTTAAGAAAACCTTTCACCACTTCAAAACTATTAAAAATTTTTTCTTTTTTCCTCCTTTTAATACTTTTATGGTTTAGTTTTTACCTTTACATTTGACTTGTATGTAATTTGTTTTGATATGAGGTTAGGCCATGGGTGATTTTTTTTCCCCTAACATTTTATATTTTTTGATAGTTCTATAATCATCTGAAATCATTGTAATAGAAATAAAAAACTTTATTATTTTTTAAATTTTTTAAGTTTTAGGACACCGGCACATGAGCAGGATGGGGAGAGGGACAGAGGGAGAGAGAGAATCCCAAGCAGGCTCCATGCTCAGTGCAGAGCCTGATGTGGGGCTCGGTCTCCCCACCCTGAGATCATGACCTGAGCCGAAATCAAGAGTCAGATGCTTAACTGACTGAGCCACCCAGGTGCCCCGAAATAAAAAAAATTTATTAAAGAAGGAGGGGGTGCCTGGGTGGCTCAGTCGGTGAAGCGTCTGCCTTCAGCTCAGGTCATGATCCCAGGGTCTGGGATTGAACCCTGCGTTGGGCTCCCTGCTTGGTGGAGAGTCTGTTTCTCCCTCTGCCTCTGCCCCTGCTCGTGTGTGTTCCCCCCACCTCAAATAAGTAAAATCTTAGAAGAAGGGGTTTAAAAGTCCCACGTGAGTGTCTTTTGCATAGATGTGTCCTGCTGGCTGCACACGACGGGGGCCATGGGCACTGGGGACGCTTAGGGAATCGCCCGCTAGGAGCAGCAGTGCAGTGTCCCCACAAGGTCCCTGACCTGCACAGCCACTGCTGGGACCCTGGCGCACAGCAGGAGAGGGGGCGTTCTGGCAGGCGGGTGTGCCAGGCTCATGTGGGCGGGGCGAGCTGATGTCTCCCTCCCTTAGGGGCGAGCTGGCGGAGGACAGCATGGAGACGGAAAACGCAGCAGCGGCTGCGGCGGCTGCTTTCACAGCGTCCTCACAGCTCAAGGAGGCCGTGTTAGGTAGGGAGCCTGCCTCCCCTCTCCATGCCCCTGCAGGATGGGCCTCCAGCGAGGAGGGGCCGCCCGCTGGCTCAGGCCCCAGGTCCAGCAAGGATGGTGTGGGCTCAGGCCCCAGGGTCATCCCGGAAGGCCGGGCTGGAGTTCGCGTGGGGGGGCCGCTCCGCCTTTCCCCGTGGGGGGCTGACCAGCGGTTATAAAACCGTCAGTGCTGGCTAACCGCCTCAGGACCCCTCAGAACAGCGAGAACAAGCTTCTCTAGAACCATCCCAAGGAAAGCTTGATTTCATTTCCTTAAGTGGTTCTTCCCGTTGAACCACAGCTTAACGTGATTATGGTAGCACTACTATCGTAAAATTGATTTTGTGACTTTCCCCGAACCTCTAACCTGGGACCGATGAGCTCCGGCCCAGCCCCTAACCTGGGACCGATGAGCTCCGGCCCGGCCCCTAATTTGGGACCGATGAGCTCTGGTCCGGCCCGTTCTTGGATCTTAGTTTCTGGTTTCTGGTTGGCGGCTATGTCGTGCTTTCGCAGGAAGTACTTTGGTTGTAACTGGTTTTGTTTTTACCCTCCTCCTGTCACACACCTTGTGAGAAGTGAAGGTGGCTGAAGAAGAGGAGAGCCTGGAGGCTGAAATCGTGTACCCCATCACCTGCGGAGACAGCAGAGCCAACCTGATTTGGAGGAAGTTTGTGTGCCCGGGCATCAATGTGAAGTGTGTCCAGGTGAGGCTCCAGCACAGCACGGACGTGTGCCTGGCTGCGTCGTGGGGAGGCCCTCGTGGCACGGCAGCCTTGAGGCAAGCCCGGCGGGGGGGCGGTGCAGAAGGCGGAGGTCGCATGTGCCTGGGAGGAGAGAGGAGAAGGGGGTAAGCCTTCAAGGGTGGACAGGATTGTTGCTGATGGCACAGGGGAAAGCGTCAGGAGGTAGTGATTCCTTGTTTCTGGAGTGTAGCTGTGGGGAGAGGCTGGGAAGTCGCCCTGTTCATGCTGGGGCAGCCATAGTCACCGAGCCGGGAGCCGCTTTTTTTGGTAGATTGAATGAGGTGTGTGCTTTGGAAAGATTCATTTAGTAGCCATGAATGGGAGAGGTGTTCTTTTTCTGCCAAGGTAGATTAAGTACCCAAGACTCACCTTGTGCTGAAAGTAGCCAAAATTGATGGTTAAGATACTTTCTGAAAGCATCTTCTAGGTGCCTCCATAAGCTGGCAAAAATGGTTGAAATACTCAAGCTGAGGGCCCGAGTAAAGGTGGGCTGTGGAGGAGGCCGAGCACCACATCCAGCTTTGGCTTGCAGAGCCTTTGCCTGCCACTGGCTTTCTCCACCTTGCAGAGCTGGAGTTGAGAAGGTGCAGCCCAGGGCTTCCCCGAGCTGTGTCCTTGGAGGCAGGGATTATCCCCCGTAATGCTCTTACTTGTAAAAGGTCCCCTCAGTATCAGGGTGGACCACTAACAACACGCTTCCAGCCCCACTCTGTCCCCTGGGACAGGGAGCCTCCTGCCGCCCATCTTAACACTGAGGGGAAGAGGGATCCTCTTGAGGAGGATTCGCGTGGGAGTTGTACGGTCGGAAAATCGTAAGTGTTTAGTTGTAAGTGGTTCCTGGCTGGTAGTTCCCCCAGGAATCTGACCGAAGCATATGGAGGAACTCCTCTTTATCGGAGGTTCTGAGTGATGTCAACAGACAGCGTTCCAAGGAAGAAGCAGCTCATTGTAAAGCAAACAGAAACACTGAGCGTGGGAGGAGACTGCACACAGACCACAGAGAGAATGAGACTCACAGTGCTTCAGGTCTTGGGATTTTGAGACCGGGAATATAAAATAATTATGTTTAATTTATCTCAATAAAAGAGAGGCTTGACATGAGAAAAGCATAAACATATTCAGAAAAACAAAGTAGGAATGAAAAATAGAATTGAAATAGAACACTTAGTGGCTAGGTTTTATAGCGGATTAGACATGGTCGAAGAGATAATTTGTGAACTGGAAAGTAGGAGTAAAGAAGTTATCCAGGGACGCCTGGGTGGCTCAGTCGTTAAGCGTCTGCCTTTGGCTCATGTCGTGATCCCAGGGTCCTGGGATCGAGCCCCACGTCAGGCTCCCTGCTCGGCGGAGAGCCTGCTTCTCCCTCTGCCACTCCCCCTGCTTCTTTTCCTGCTCTCCCTGCATCTCTCTGTCAAATAAATCAATAAAATCTTAAAAAAAAAAAAAAGAAGTTGTCCAGAACATAATCCACAGAAATAAAAAGGGGATAGAGGCTCGAGAAAGGCTAACGCATCAGTGAGTTCTGGAAGGAGAGAAGAAGGGTCTGAGAAAGTTTATAATGGAGGGAAGGAAACCGTGCACAGTTCAAGACATCCAGCAAATCCCAAACTGAATGAGTACAAGAAACCAACCACATTTTAAACAGCTTTGGGAGGCAGCTCGAAGGACTGGTTCCATCCGGAACAGTTTAACACTGAAATAATTAACGATAGTCTGGATTATAACTCAAGTGCAATAAGAGTCCACAGGTCTTTGTTTATCGCTGTGTGTTTCATGGTGTTTATATCAAATAGAAGTAAAGCTTTTATGTTGGAATGCCAGCTAGTAGACGTGGGAGGGGTGAGGGAGCCTGGGCTCCAAGACTCTACCGAAACTGGCTGCTGAGAGCTAGTGGGGAGCAAGGTGTGCGCCAGTCTCAAAATATCCCCCGTCCATTTGGTGTTAATTGTAGAGGGAAGACAGCACCTCTGCAGGGGAAGCCTGGCAGGGGGCTCCTTAACTAAGTGATGACATTAGTGTTGGGACAGACTTCCATCATGGGTCCCCTGATTGAATGGGCGGGAAATCTGTGGCCTTCCTGCCAGAAAGGCCTAGCCTGACTCTCGTCGTGAGAAGACGGGAGGGACAGCCGACAAGAAATTTGCTTGGGAGCTTCAGAAACGACAAGGTCAGGAAGACGAAGGTGGACTGTTCAGGGAGCAGGTGTGGTGTGCGGTCTGGGCTGGGTCCTGCTCTGGAGACGGATTGCTGCAGAGCTGTTCTTGGGGCAGTTCGTGAACTCTGCATATTGCCTGTTGATTAGATAGTACACATTAATGGGGATTGCCTCAACTCGAGAGTTGTGGTTGCATAGCAGAACCTTTTCCTCAGGAAGTAGATACCGAGTGTGGAGGACAGGGTCTGAGTCTGCAGTTGTCTCTCAGTGGTGTGGAGCAGTCGACGGGGAAGCAGGGAGCAGAAGGGCCCCGGGCAGGCAGTTGGGGAGCTCGTCTTCCACTTATTCTGTAAGTTCGAAATAATAACGAAATAAAGAGTGAGAAACAAAAACAGGTTTCCCACAGACAGCATCCTAATGGAACTGTGAGAAGCAGAGAAGGCCCCACATAGCCGGCAGCTTCTCAGGAGCAGGGGACCCGCTGATGGCGGGGTTCCCGAAAGTGCCATAGCAGCCGGAGGGCGAAGGAGCTGTGTCCTGTGCTGAGGGAGAAGAGTTGCACACAGCAAAGTCATCTTTCCAGTCGAGGGGGAATGCAGACGTTTCAGACAGAACTGCGCTGGCCATGAGCATGTCCTCACTGAAGGGTGTTCGAGGAAGTATTTCAGGCAGAGGGAAAGCGATTCCAGATAGGAAGTTTTTAGGTCCAGGAGGCATGCGGAGTGAAGGAAGTGGAAATATGTGGGTGAGCCCACAGCTTTGACAACATGTCTTAGGAAGAGTCCAAACCAGATAAAACCTGTGGCACCTGGCCATGGGGTCACTTAGCTCTGGACTCTGACAGCCCAGGTAGGCACAGCACCCAGCCTAAGAGTAGAGTATGACGTGCCAACTACTAAGCAAACTCTGGAACTCCGAGAGTGGTGGTCAGCCCAGATGGTGGCAGGAAGGGAGGGAAGGCAGCGTGTGCTGACAAGTGGAGTGAAGTGTGAGACTTGGGAGAGATGGATCCGTGGGGTGTAGCTGGGGTGGGCCAGGGACTGCGCCCCAGATGGTGTCACACCCAGGGGGAGGGGGAGAGAGGCTGTCATCCTGGGGGAGGGGCAGAGATGGTGTCATGCCTCGTGGGGATGGGGAGAGATGATGTCATGTCCGGGCGAGTGGGGAGGTGTTGTGCTTCCGCTGCTTGGGCTCACAGCTCGACCAGCTGAGCGAGGGGTCGAGTGGCTTCCTGGACTCGGTGAGAGCATGTGTGTGGGTGCTCGGGACATTAGGAAGACGACTCCCACCAGCAGGGACCCCCAGCTGCTCGCACTTGCTGTGACCTGAGTCTGCAGGAGTTAGCAGTGCTTGACGCTGTGTGCTCCAAGCAGGACACGCTGGAGGACCCCAGCCAGACCTGAGCCCAGACAGCGGCGGGGGGGGCGCATCCTGGGAGGGGAGGCCCAGTGGCACCTCTGTCTCCCGCTCTGCTGAGACCTGGTGACTCATCTGTCTTCTGCCTGCTTGTTTCCTAAGTAAATGCAGTTTTATTTTGATTCTTCGGTTCCAGTAATGACTTGTTTAACACAATTGAATAGGGTATTTTAGCTTCTCAAGCCATCTGAGCTCCAACATTGAGTGAAACTGGTCCCCAAACCCTGACATTGAAATGGATATGTGTGCACTGGTGCACGAGATGCGTGCTGTGAGGGGGTGTTAGGGGTGTGTTGGGGTGGGTGAAGGGGACAAATCACAGCTTACCCTACACACTGTCTCGGGTTATTTTGATGTCACGTATGTAGGTGTTCTTAATGGAGTAAGTCACGCATAAGTGGGTTTGCTGAGTCCCATCTGGAGGGAGAGAGTGCCTTTCTGAGCGCTGTGGTCACCTCCGCTCTCCCTGGCTCAGGCGCACCATCTGTTTCTCTGGCCTCCCTCCCTGGGCTTGGGGGCAGTGCCGGCCACAGGCTGCTGGCAGCAGGAAGCCAGCCCCCCACCCCAGCCCCTGTGCAGGACGGCCGTGTCTTGTGTTACCTGAACTGTTCCTTTCCCCCAGTGATGGTTGCAGCTGGTTGGATCTGAAACGTCAGACCGAGAGCAAGCCTGTGGCTGTTGGCCACCCCACACCCCTCTCCCTGGCTGGGCTCTGGCAAACGGTCAGGCAGGAGAGGTGGGTCAGAGAGGGCCGTCCCGACCCAGCTCTGCTGTGCTTCCCTCCACAGTATGATGAGCATGTGATCAGCCCAAAGGAGTTTGTGCACCTGGCCGGCAAGTCCACCCTGAAGGACTGGAAGAGGGCCATCCGCATGAATGGCATCATGCTCAGGTGGGTGCCTGCGTGCACAGCGAGCCCTCTGTGGCAGAGTCAAGTGACCATGCCAGGTGTCCTTCCATTGCTTTTTCATTTGTTGTTAAGTTTTTTTTTTTTTTTAAAGATTTTATTTATTTATTTGACAGAACACAGCGAGAGAGGGAACACAAGCAGGGGGAGTGGGAGAGGGACAAGCAGGCTCCCCGCCGAGCAGGGAGCCTGATGCGGGGCTCGATCCCAGGACCCTGGGACCATGACCTGAGCCGAAGGCAGATGCTTAACCACTGAGCCACCCAGGCGCCCCCATTGTTGAGTTTTTTAAGATGAGGCCCATTGTAAACACGAGCACTGACAGCATCCCGGGAATGGCTTCCGCCCGCAGCCCTGCGGCGTGTGACACCACCAGACCCACCACCAGACCATCAGATTCGTGGGACTTTGTTGTCCTCGCTCGGCCTCCCTGTGCCTCCCTGTGTTAGAGAGTGTGCTCCCACATCTCCCACCACAGCCACTGAACCTTGGAGTGCCTGGGCACGGGCGCAGGTCCCGAACCTGGGGTGCGTGTCCGTCTGGCCGTCTGTCCCTTTCTGGCATGGCCCACCTGCCTGATGAGGGTCCCATCCCAACCACGTCTGTGTTCAGTGGCCGTGCATCTGTCTCTTGGACCTTCTCTCCACCTAGTTGCTTTCAGGATACAGGCCAGTGGGTTTCTAGAGGGTCTTCGTCCAGATCCCTGACCTTACCTGTCATGAGATCAGGTGGTGCTGGGTTGACGCCCCGTCTCTGGCTGTTGATGGTGGTGTGTTCTTGGTTGGGTGCCCACTTGCTCCTCACAGACCTTTTCCCTTTGACATTAATCAGGAATTTGTAGGAAGTTTTGGGCTAGCTCTCAGCTCCTTCTTCACCGATATCAAATCCCAGAATAGAGACAATCGGAGTTTGTGCCTCCGTCTCTCCATTGGCCGTGCCAGCAACCCAAGGGTCCTGTCGCTCGTTTGCGTGGGCCAGTTCTCAGGCTGGTGGGAAGGCCAGCGTCCGCTCTGCTAGCCACCCTATGTGTGTGTGACCTGTCCCCGATGGCCTTCTGTCCCTTTTCCCGTCACCTGTGAAACAGAAATGGTAATGCCCCTTCTGGGAAGCCTGAGGACAGACTAGGCTTTCAGTTTGTACACCCAGAATGTTGATTCCCGATCTTCATGTTTTCACATTTCTGCTTTGGTGGTGACAGCTCACCCCTCCTGATGAGGCAGAGGGCACCTCTGTCTGTCGGCCCCCACCCCTCCATGTGCTCACTCCACGGCCCCTCCTGCATGCTGGTCCAGAGACAGCTGCTGTTTGCATGCTGTTTTCGGGAGAAGCGGCTTCATGCTGTTCTTGGGCTTGGGTTTGCTGCCGGGGGAGTGTGTGACCCTTGGTGAGTCCTGGATCACGGCCTCGTTCACTGTCCCTCTGAGCCACAGTCTGGGCCTGAGATGGGCAGATGCCCACAGCCAGAGACCCAGCCAACACTGCTACACCTGTGTTCCTGGGGTGTGCCTGCCGCTTGGCGCCCCACAGTTGGCCCTGCATCCCATCCTGCAGTGCTCAGGGCTCCTCTCTAAGCCCCACCCATGAAGCAGGCCCCTGACTTTCTAGAAAGTGTCTTGGTGGCCTAGCTGTGAGAAGGCAACTGCCATTTCCTTGGAAGAGCGCTGCAGGGGAGGGGCACCGTGGGTAAGCTGCACATCCTGAGGTCAGCACAGGTACACTGCAGAGGCCCAGCAATGTGGAGGTCATGGGTGGAGGGGGGTGAGTTGAGACGTCCACAGAGTGAAACCCAGGCCCTCCAGAGGGGCTGTAGTAAAGGCCCACCCTGGGAGGCCTGTCCTGGCAGGTGGGGGACGTGCTATGCCATCCCGATCAAGGCGAGGATGGGAAGCGAGTCACCTTGAGTGCAGAGCGAGAAGCCAGAGGCTTCTCTGCCAGAGGCTTCTCTCTTCACTGTCCTGCTTTGCTGTGCGCGCAGAGAGCCAGGCTGCTCCTGGAGGGTTTCTCGTCCCCCTCTGCCTCACAGTCTCCTTATGGGGGCGCCCTCAGCCACTTCCGTTAGCCATGGGCCTGCTCCCCCTGGGCCGGCGGGTGGCAGAACATCCCCGGAGGGCCCTCTGGGATGACTTCCTGCTAGCGTTCTCATATCTCCTTCTGGGTGCCAGCCACTGCGGTCGCGGTCCCCACAGACTTCCCACTTGTGCTGGAAGCTCACTGGCCCGGAGCGTTGGCTGGGGTCATTGCAGAGGCCTGTCTGGAGCCTCCGTGGCACCCACCTCCCGCCCTGCGGTTAGCCACTCTGCAGCCGCCACCTCCCTGCCTGGCCATCAGGACCTGAGGACGCTCGAGGGTGGGGGATGGGAGGGGAGTGAGGTGCCTTGGGGTCCAGCCGTGCACACCTGTGCCTGGACGTGTCCTCCGTCTCTGGTCTCCTTTGCCACAGGAAGATCATGGACTCCGGGGAGCTGGACTTTTATCAGCACGATAAGGTCTGCTCCAACACCTGCCGCAGCACCAAGATCGACCTCTCAGGCGCCCGCGTGTCCCTGAGCAGCCCCACCTCGGCCGAGTACATTCCACTCACGCCTGCCACGGCCGACGGTACGTGCTGGCTCGGAGCCTTTGCTCTTGCTGGCGGCTTGACCCAGTCCCACTCCACCTGCGGCCACGGAGGTGGGCCTCTGCACGCCACTCGTGGGCAGCCTGGCCTCCCCTCTGGGCCTACGGTGTTCTGCAGCCGCCTCCTTCCTCACTGAGGGAGTCTAGCTGGATTGCTGTTTTCATCGACAGTGTGCTGGGGAGATGGTAAATGCCAGGAGGAGAGTGTGACGTTGGGACTGTTGAAGCTGGTGGTTGGGTCAGGGAGACTTAGTTCTTTCTCCTTTGTGTGTATTTGAAGATGTCTGTGATTAAGAAGTTTAAAAAAATAGATGTACCACAGCAGCAAGTAAATCCCTTGGTTGCACTGGTACACGTGTTTGTGGATCTTGTGAATATTGGTGCAAAGGAGAGCTTTAGAGCTTGTGTTTGGATGGCGGGTTGAGAGGGTCACTCACTGGCTGGCGAGGCTCATGGTGGCCGTGTCTGGGTTGCAGTGAATGGGTCTCCCGCTACCATCACCATAGAGACCTGCGAGGATCCCGGTGACTGGACCACGGCCATCGGAGGTACGGGTTCTTCCGGGTGGGCTCCTTGTGGGCAGGAGGCAGGACGTGCTGGGCGGCCCTGGGAGGGGTGAGGGGCCTCCTGGAGGAAGTGCCAGTGCAGAGGGTGAGCTCTGCCTGGGCCCAGGCCCCCATCTGGAACTGTGTGCACTGGCCCGCGGGTCCGGGTCTCCGGGCACTCTCTGCTCCTGCCTGTGGCGAGAAGCCCGCGGTGCCTGCTCTGTGGATTCTTCCTGCCGTCTGACCTGCTCCACCTCTCACAGATGACACCTTTTCCTTCTGGCGAGGGCTCAAGGATGCGGGTCTGCTGGATGAGGTCATACAGGAGTTCCACCAGGAGCTGATGGAGACCATGAAAGGCCTGCAGCAGCGGGTCCAGGACCCTCCCCTGCAGCTCCGAGGTGAGGGGCTCAATGTCTGCCTGGCATCGGTGGGCACCGCCCCCCCAGGCTCCTTCCTGCTCTGTGCAGGGGCAGGGGTGCTTGGGTGCTCCCCACCGCCCTGCCGCGCCTTTGGGATGAAGCCGAGTCGTAGGCCCAGCTGTGCTGTGGCTGAGCTTCTGGTGGCAGAAGAGGGCCATGCAGAGGCCATATGCCTCCTGGGGTCTCACTGTGTCTCTGGGGGAACTTCTCTGCCTGCGGGGGGGCCATTCTCACTGTGTGCTCGCCCCTTGAAGATGCTGTCCTCCTCAACAACATCGTGCAGAACTTCGGCATGCTGGACCTGGTGAAGAAGGTGCTGGCCAGCCACAAGTGCCAGATGGACCGCTCGCGGGAGCAGTACGCCCGAGACCTGGCAGGTACATCTGGTGGCCAGGGCCCGTCCCTGCTCACGGCCCCCTGGACACTGCTCCTGAGAGAGCCCTGGCGGCAGAGTCTGGAGTTGGGAAGGACCAGGAGAGCCTAGCGCTGTCACGCAGGGAAGCCGGGAAGCCATGACATGGGGCCTAGGCAGCCCGCCCGTGGGTCCTGAGTGTGGAACTCCCCGCAGTGGTTTACAGGAGAAAAGTGGGAGAGGTGACCGGGAGCCGGCGTGGCCCCCAGAGTCACCTTTGGGACGTTTGTGTTTTTCTTTCTGGCCACCCCCTCGGCATCCATACTCACAGGGTGCGTGTGTGCAGCAGGTGCCTACATGTGTGGTTTTGACCTACTTTTTATCTTATCACGAGAGGAACTTTTCTGCAGAGATTAGGAGGATTGGAAAGTTAGAATGGGGAAGGTCCGTGCCCTCGTCTGGCAGCTTGGAGACCGCCTTTGAGATGGCATTGCTGCTTCCTTGGAGGGGTGGTCCACACAGGCCCCCAGAGAGTCACTGTGGGGGACGGGGTGGGACAGAGACAGAGTGTCACTGCTGTGCCGGCACAGGCCCCGCGTCAGGGGGCGTGGGGTCTGACGCTCTCTGTCCCCTCCCCCCATGCCCCCCGTCCCCACGGTGACACTCTGCCCCCCCGTCTCCCCCCGTCCCCGCGGTGACGCTCTGCCCCCTCCCCCCATGCCCCCCGTCCCCGCGGTGACGCTCTGCCCCCTCCCCCCATGCCCCCTGTCCCCGCAGTGACGCTCTGCCCCCTCCCCCCATGCCCCCTGTCCCCCCCACAGCCCTGGAGCAGCAGTGTGATGAGCACCGCCGTCGGGCCAAGGAGCTCAAGCACAAATCTCAGCACCTCAGCAACGTGCTCATGACGCTGACGCCCGTCTCCCTGCCGCCCCCCACGAAGCGGCCCCGGCTGGCAAGGGCCACGTCCGGGCCAGCTGCCATAGCCTCGCAGGTGCTCACCCAGTCTGCCCAGATCGCCCTCAGCCCCGGCGTGCCCGTCTCCCAGCTGACTGGCGTGCCGCTCGGCAAAGTGGTGTCCACCCTGCCCTCCCCCGTGCTGGGCAAGGGCCCCCCCCAGGCTGCTCCTGCCAGCTCCCCTGCCTCGCCACTGCTAGGGGGCTACACGGTGCTGGCCTCGTCGGGCGCCACCTTCCCTGGCACGGTGGAGATCCACCCGGACGCGTCCAGCCTCACGGTCCTGAGCACGGCCGCCATGCAGGACGGCAGCACTGTGGTCAAGGTGGTGAGTCCCCTGCAGCTGCTCACCTTGCCAGGCCTGGGCCCCACCCTGCAGAACGTGGCCCAGGTGTCACCTGGGGGCAGCACCATCGTGACAGTGCCCACGGGGGCCGTCGAGAGCGCCATGGCCGCCTCGGGGCCCGAGGAGCACGCAGCCACCATCGAGGTGGCCGCCATGGCGGAGGGCCATGAGCACAAGTAGACGCTGGTGGAGGGCGAGGCCCCTCGTGGGCACAGGGCTGGCCGCCTCTCCTCAAACCGTGGCTGGGCGGGAGCACATAGCCCCGGCGCCCCGCGGGTCACGTTGGGCTGAACCAAAGAGCGGAAACACCAAAACAGACGAGGAGCAAAAGGGATCTCAGACGACAGACCTGTGCAGCCAGCCTCGCTCTCGCACTTCCTCCCCCTTCTTTCTTAGGAAATACATTTTTCCATCTGTTGCTTATTGATACTGTTTACACGTTGGGCCTGATCAGGAGCCAGGCAGAGAGGACGAGGAGGCAGAGCCGGGGAGCGGGGCCCGGACCCCGTGGGTGCGAGGGGCCCTGGGGGGGCCTGAGCCGGCTGGGGGAGGGGGGTCGCTAACACATGTCTTGGGAACTGTCCCCAAGTGTGGAAACCCATGGATCCTATGGATTTGGTTTCTTCCCACAGTTTTCTGTAGGTTTAGTGTGGCCCGGCACCCTGTTCTCCCATCTCTGGAACAGGCCTCGGTGCTGCCGCTGGTCCACACGCAGCTCTGGGCTGGGGCTCCCGGGGAACACGGGGGTTGGAGTGCAGCCCCCAGGGCACCCGCCTGAGCAGAGGGCCAGGGGGCCCCAGCAGCATGAGTTTGCCGTCTGCCCATCCCCCTCCACCCGGCAGGGGCTGTTGCACATGCACCGTGGGTGTCTTTAAGTGAATTGTTTAGTAGGCTTCTAGGAAGAGTCAGATTTATAGCATTTTCAACCTAAGCAACACTGAGTGCCTAGGCTCCCCGAATTTGCTCTGGGTTCCAGAGTTCTCTGTACAAGCAGTTGTCAGGATGGCCCGCGGGGGACTGTGTGTGCTGGTGGTTCCTTCTGCTCTGGCTGTGAGCCCTTGGCACCGGCAGGCCACCCAGGGGAGTGTGACGGTGGGTGTGCTCCTCGGGCTTTGGTTCCGAGGTTAGGGGGTGAACAGAACAAGCCAGGAACTGAGGAGGATCTGCATGGGCCGTGGGCTCATTGCCAGCCCTGTGCTCAGCCTGTTGGGGCCGTCATAACAGCCTTAGCACTTAGTCCCCCGAACTCCCCATGCGCCCTACCCGGAGGTGGAGGTGTATGTGGGGTGACGGCCCGGTAGCCTGGGCGAGGGCCAGTCAGGGTGGGGCCGGGATGCTCACTGGCAGGGCCATCCGTGGGACACGTGCAGCTCTGAGTTTGGGCACAGGAGGGAGAACAGGCAGGGGTCCCCTGAAGGCCTGAAGCCATCTCCAGCAGGGCCCCAAGGCCCGTCCGAGCCCCTGAGTGGCAGGCTCCCTCAGACCTGCCAGTTCTGTTGCTTGCCGAACACCCTTCTCTGGGAGAAGGGGAGGGGCTCCAGAGACAAGATGCTGCCCCACTTTGTGCTTTGAAGGGAACTGGGTTCCGTGTGTCTGTCCTTCCATACGTCAGGTGCCCCAGACCTACCGGAGCGGGCCTCGCCCCCCGAGTCAAGCCACCGACCGAGGTGGTCTTTTTCTGTTTTCTTTCTGTTGCATACTTGTTTGCTGTTCTCATGGGTCAGCTGGTTTCAGCATGATGTTTACTTGCTGGTGTACTCCTCATCTTCACGGTGTCCTGATGCCCGAGGCAGTGTGATCCCTGCGGGTGGGCGCCGCCCCGCCTGGCCCGTCCTGTCGGTCTGCACCAGCTCAGACCATAGGAGAAATCACGTGGCTGATAAAACCGTGTCTTGTCCTTGGAGGCTTTGTCACAGTCAGCCGCTGCCCTGCCTTTCAAGCCGCTGCCCTGCCCTCAGACCGCCGGGGCACTGGGGGGAAGTGTGTGTCAGAGCCATAGAAACAGAAGCCACAGCCCCGAAATAACTGCAGCCCCCCCCTTCCGCCCGGGCTGGGGGGCAGACACCTGTGCCTGGCAGGGCCCCAAGCCGAGGAGGGTTCCTGGGGCTCTGTCAGTGCGCCCGCGCCTTCCAGTCCCCCGGGTGGGTGTGCGGCGGCTTCTGGGGAGCAGGACTGGATTGGGTTTTTCTCACGGTGCCGAGCGCTGGCTCAGAGGCAGCCTGGGGAAGGGAAGCATCCGGGTTCTACTTTGTATGTTGTTTTGCAAGTATCTGCTTGGTACTTTGATTTACAGTAAAAACATTTTTCATAATGTGTGTCTGAGTCTTGTGATGAAAGCTTGGGGGGGGGGTCAAGTTCGTGTGGGCCTGTGCCCGCTGCAGACAGCGCTCTGAGTGAGTGCTCGGGGGCCCCAAGGCCCTTCCTCTGTCCTGAGGTCAAAACTGTTTTCATGTCAGCACCAGGTGTCGGGCCTTCCTCCTCCACACCCCCTGTGCAGTGTTGACGCCATGACTGGTGGGCCCCGGCCAGCAGAGTGTGTGCAAGTCCTCACCTACAAAGGTGGTCAGGTTTACCTCGTCACGTGGCAGCCCTGCAACAGCCCACGTGCAGGAGCCTTGGGGCCCTGTGTGTCAGGGGTTCCCCGGCTGGGAATGCAGGGCCACCATGCGGAAGTGGAACGGCCCCCCTGCCCTTTCCCATGGGGGAGGTTGAACCACTTGCCAAGAGAGGGTGGCAGAGCCAGGCTGTGATCTGGGCTCCCTGCCCCTGGTTGGAGGAGAGGTGCCCCCCCCGGGCAGCTCGCGGGGAGAGGGAAGGCCTGTGGGCTCCCTGGAAGTGGGGCATCCTCTGCAATGGGTCTGAGGGGCTTGTTTGTGTCCTTGATCTCTTGCCTGCCACAGCCCTTTCTAGGAGTCACTGGACCACCATGCCCCCTGCTAAAGATGCTTTGAAGGCTCCCCACTCCTCTCAGGAGGAAACCAGCCCCCTCTATCAGGGGCCCCTCCTCGCCCTTGTTCCTGGTGACGGGTGTGGGGAGGGTCTGCAGCCACCCCCCCTTTGTACATACCCCCGGAGCACTGCAAGCCCAGTGGGCAGCAGCTCCCCACTCCTGCGTGCTCCGGCGCTCCGCTGTGGAGCAGCGGGGGCAGGAGTCTGCCCCGGGGACATCGGCTAATTGAGCACTGCTGAGCTTGGACGCTCCTGCTCGTGGCTCTCTGTTCTGTGGCTTGGGCACCACCCAACTAGAAGTGTCACAGGGATATTAATGAGGGGCACAGCCCTCCCCAGGGGCAGAGGGGACAAGGGGGGGGGTCCAGGCAGCGTCAGTGCTTGGGTGGGCGACCTGGAGAGACCATTGCCGGAAACTGGGCAGGAGGTTCACTCGGTGTTGTAGCTCCTGCGGATTTGGACAAACGTATAAAGACGCATTTTACACGATCACCGCAGTGTCTCACTGTTTCCACTGCCCCGAGGCCGTCCGACCTGCACCTGCTGTTTAACCCCTGGCCCCACCCCAAGGACCACACAAAACAAAACTCTGTTTGCAAATCCCAGTCAAAAAAGCTTGAAACACACCCTTTGTGCTGGATTCCCTCTTTTGTTAAGTAATGTTCCTTCCTATATCTATTTATTCTGGGGGTGGTTTTCTTTTTTTTCTTTTCTTTTCGCCTTAAATTCTAGATCGTCTGAAATTAATATTGCTATGTCAGCATTTATTTATTTATTTTTGGTGGTAGATGCCTGGCGTACCTTTTTCCTTTTTTATTTTTGACCATATTGTGCTTTTGTGTTTTGGTGCATCTCTGGTAAGTAGCAAATAGTTGTATTACTCTCCTTTCAAAATCCAATCTCAGATTCTCAATCTCTTGATAGAATGTAGTCCCTTTATGTTTATTGTAATTACTGTACATTTGGATTCAGTCTCTTACCAAGTTGTCTTAGAGGCTGAAGTGTTTGTGAGGAGTTGTTTTGACTTTTGCTTTCTTCTGGGTTGGCTCTCCCTTTTCTTTCCTTCCTTCCCTCCCCCCCCCCATGTGGATAACTCAGCTCACTTCTGTGTGGTGGCTTTAAAACACACCACTGTCACGTCAGGGTCACCACTTGCCGGGAATGGCCAGCAATCCCTGTACCGGCGGATGAAAGGTGACGCCAAACTTTGCCGTGAAAGAGAGGAGCGGGCAAGGGGGGTCAACGCTCAGAGACGAAGACCCTTTGCTCTTCTTTGCTGCCGCTTTTATTGGTCCTTCAGGATAATCACAAATCCTTATCAGTGTTTCTCAAGCACGTGATGTGTGACAAGGGGTCTTGAACTGGGAGGATTAGCAAATATGCGTGTTCTACGAGATCTGCTAAACATAGCCTTGGGGACAATGCATACATCTCTTAGATCCAAGGGCGGCTGTTCCGGCTGAGAAAGCTTACGGGAAGGCAACTCCCCACGGTATTCCAACGGCAGAGTGGTCATGCAGGCCTCAGCATTCCAAAGGCCCACGACTTCTCCAAAACCTTCCCTGCCCCCAGTGGCCTCACATTACATTTTAGCAAGCCAGGTATTATGGCTGATTTCCTGCTCTACGTTAACCCCAACATCTCCCCCTTTCTGTTTCTTTAAAGTGGCAGCAAGTAGTTTGAGACAGCTGTGCTGTGTAGATATATGCTTCACATCTCCGGTGGTGGATAGGGCTTTCATTCCAATTTTGCAGACTATGATGAGAAGAAAAACAGTAATTATTACAATAGCAACTCCTCCCACAGAAGTTGGAGTTGGACTTCCCTCCCTTTGCTGTGGGCTGGCCTTAGGGACTCACTTTGAACAACCAGGACCAGCATAATAAATGGTTGTTTTATTTCACGAGTTTGGGGGTCATTTGTTATGCAGCCACATTCCCTGGGACATACTGTATCTTCATCAGCTTTTCTCCATCTGAGCCACGTCTGGGTCCTACTCTCTTTTTGGTGGCCGGAGGGGCAAGACCTGGGGAAGGGGCCATCCTGTGGTTTCCCGTCTGCCGGAACGGCTGAGCTGGACACTCTTCTGCAAGACGGTTTTGCCGTGGCCTCGGCCAGGACCCGTGGATTTCCAGGTCATATTCCACATGACTTCTCCCTGCTTAGGGGGCCCGCACCACGAGAGTAGGATGAATTCGTTTGCCACTGACCTGGTATTGTAATAACTTCTGTGTTCTTGAACTTCATCTACATGGAGACGTGCATTAACTACTCTTTCAGGCTTGGCCGCTTTTGCTCAACAGAGCGTACTCAGGATCCATCCGTGCTCTCGTGAGCGTCGGGGGCAGTGCTTCCTGAGTGGCATGTTATTATACACACACGCCACAGTTTGTTTATGCCGTGGCCTGACCATGAACGTTTGCGTTGTTTCCAGTT